AAAAAGTTACCAGCTTTGCACCTTATATAACTTAATAGCTCGTACTTAATTTAGTAACATATTCAGGGAGCCTTCTCGACCGTTGTTGGTATTTTGGTTTTGGCAACTGTGGACGCATATATCGTACAGATTTTTTTCAAAACTGTTTTCCTAGTTATTGTGTTCAGTATGGCTCATGGTCTCATCTTTCTACCAATTTTTTTGACAGTTGTCCTTCCACGTGCAAAAGTCCGAAACGGGAATGCGGTTAAGTCAGACACTGGTTACCCCAACAGCAAAAATTCAGACACGAAATCAGATAAGCCACAAAGTTTCCAAATCCCTATCAATCCAAACTATAGAAGCCATATTGAAACTACAACTGACACCAATGTCACTACAAAACCTGAAGAGAAGCCCGCTGGGCAAAAATGAATGAGTATTCTCGGGAATCTCTCAACGAAGTGTAGCCGAGCCTGTAAAACTGCCGTACCGACTCATATCAAAATTACAGTACTCTATTAATTAATAATTCCGACTCACCAAAAAAGGAAAAATTTGTTAAATAACCGGATGCAATTGTCAAATTCAAAAGTATTATTTGTGCAGCAATCTCTCGCTTTCTGTAATAAGTTTTATACTTAGGTGTGAATGTACACTGCTTGCGTAAGCTGCTCAGCTCTTTCCTACCAAAATAGAGAAATAAATAACTGTTGAATATCATTACTTGTTTCTTTGTCAACAACTAAATTCACAAACAATTGGTCAGCAAGACATTCCCAGAATTTGTTTAGTCAGTGTATGCTAACTTTATTCAGACCTTCGGTTTATTGACTACAGAGCAATCAGAGTATTCGGAAGCCAAAATTATTAAGGTTCATACACCATTTTAATTAAGCGGGTACGCCCCCACACACAATTCGTTGAATTCACCTTTGTTCTTTATATACAGAATTCCCGATAATTTCATTAGTTTTAAACTTATTTATCTATCTCTTGCTAACGTTCTAACAGTACATCGTTAAAAACTCGCCCTTGTTTTTCAAAAAACAAGGGCGAGTTTTTCTTTCTTTTTTTTTTCTTTTTTTTTTTTTGCTCTTCTTTGTTTCTCTTTCTGGGGGGCACACAGTGAAACTCCCTACAGTTTCGCGTCTGTACAATGCTGGCCCCAGTCCGTCTACCGATAAGTCTTCCTGTCCTTCGGATATTTCCGCTAATGCAGCGCTGCTTTTGAATGATCAACTTTCATTGGGTTAAAAAAAATTTTATTTGGGTTTTCACAAAATAATAAATGGGAAGAAAGATCTCGATGGCAAATACATATGAGTAAATGTTTCTGAAAAGCCCTCTCAACGACTTTTTTGATCACCACACACAATGGATAAATAAGTTCTGTGCGCACAGTTGAGAAATTCCAAAAGTATTTGGGTAGACCAGAAAATGGTCAAGAAATATGAACGTATTGAGGAGAGAAAATGGAAGCATAAAGAGTGGATTTAAGCCTTCCAGATTTTCAAGACTGCAGTTAAGAAAGCCTCGCACGAATTGTTATACCGTACGCCACAAGCAGGTAGCTGTCATGAAAAAGTATAAGAACTAAGACGAAATTTCAGCATTACTTGGAAAGTTAGCAAAAAGCATACAGACAAGTCTGAAACCACTACAGACGAACCGTATGGGTAGAAAATTTGAAAAAAAAATGAAGGTCGTTTGCAAGTAAAAGAATGCATCTTTGAAGTCAGGCACAAATGTGTCGCGACCACTCGCGAAAAGCGTCGTAGGCTTACTTTAAGGTTACTGTAGTTCGCTAACGGGAAGGTCCTAGAAGAGCTGCAGACTGGACACTTGAGCAGACGAAAGCCAGGTATTAAAGAGGCAGTAATCAAGAAAACAATCAATTTCTACCTATCGTCGACATCAGTCTATACTATATTTTCTGTCATCACGTGCCCACTGGGCAGCTTTCGATCTGTTCATTGGTTTCAAACTGTTTTTATTTGTTCTCATTATTTCTTGGTATATCATTGAATGTTTGACTAGTGTCAACAAGAATTTTCTATTTGTAAAGCATAAAGGTGAAGCAAGAACGAAAGGGCCAATTATAAGAGAAGGCTCCAGCATAATAAGAAGGTACAACCCAAGAAGTTACTTAAGACGTCGAGGTTTAGGAGATCAGAGATACCAAAGTCAAAGATCTCAAATTACAGCCGGTTACAGTCCGTTAAGTTACCGTCTTTTTGGTTGGCAGATGTGATTCGTGATTGGCTGATTACGGTCACAGTCAATTTAGTGTATTACGAGAAAGGCTCATGTAGGAAGCATACGGAGGACTACAAAAGCGGTGCTTCAATTTAGAAAATGATTGTAGTAGCATCGAACCAGTCTAAGTAAAACAGAAAGGCCGTTTCCTCAAATCAAGTCTTTAAATTAGAAATGCTGCTATTTAGATGTAAATAAACCCATTAGCCGTCCTCTAACCTAACTTTTTGCTGCTTAACACTACTCTAAAAGTGTTTGTTCCGACTTAACAATTAACCTTGACCTGCTTTTAAAATTTAACGACTCACTACGTTTTTACTTACCCTTTATCAGCACCAACATGGGCACATCTGAGCAACATCAAGTGGACTATTTGGTGGTATCGCTCCATAGGAATAGACCACTAAGATTTCCTAACAAATTTTTCCAGACGATGTGAATTCAACACCTTTCGGTCTTCATAAAGTTCTCGAAATGGCTCCATAAATTCTTCGTAAGATTTGAATCAGGATGCTGCTACAACCATTACATTGCTTTTATTCGGCTCTATTCTGTCCACTGCCAAATTCTTATCGTAGTACTCTTCACTTGCTTTTCTTGCTATCAGATCCAGCTGTTTGTCAGACTTCCACAACTAAGTATAAGAACGCTCCTGCAAACCTAATTCAAAAGAAAAAGAACAGCCTGGCCCATAATTTCGCCAATACGGTATAAAGATCACAATTCTTCCTTCAACGCCAGTTGGAGTACACTTTAAAAGCAATCCTACACCAAAACATGCTGGCCCTAGTCACAATTACCTTCGAAATGCGCTGAGCGTGAATGCCATGCTTATCCTATCCATCTATGAGCAACCGATGTTACTTACAACTTCAGCCGCTCGGATATATGTGATGACACTCTAAACTACACCTCTTCGGAAAGTTTACAATCTTGTTTTCCAACTCAAACAAATCGCGCTTTCTAATAAACCAGAATTTTTTTACTGTGACCCACTAAAACCGAGCTACCAAACAAAACAGAAAACACTAAATCTGCAGAACTTATTGCCTATTAACTGCAAACAAACTCTTCTGCACTTTTTGGCAGTAAAAAAACAGATATGTAACTCTTGCTGTGCATATCACTAAGTCAGTTTCAATGCTTCTAATTCTAAAATTTAAACTTAAAAACCATGCCTTACCTAATTTTAATATAAACGACTCTAGCTTTTGTTCCATACAGCAGAACTATATAAAAAATAAAACTTTTTAATATTGATAGAGATAACAAATACTTGTACTTCATTAACCAAAGTCTCGCTATGGCCAACACTAAACACAGCTAGATGTAAGTTTTGCCATACTAACAAATTATTTTACCGCCAGCAATAAAAATAACCGCAAATCTTTTTCGTCTTTGGGCTACTAACTTCTTGAGGAGATCTACTATCTAACGTAACAGTCAAATCACCTTAGCCTTGCTGGCTTTACTGTTGAAATGGCAGTCAACTACCTCACTGAAACTTGTGCCTACTTAACAAGTGGCATCCGTAACTCACGAATGACGCCACACTACCAAACAAACCTTCCTATCGACACCACAAGTCTTGTTAAAAGAAACTTAGCCACCATGAATTCGTATCACTTGTACTGCAGTTTACCCCACAAGAACAAAAATCTGTCTCTCAAAATCTTTCAACGAACCAAAGCGACTCCAAACTCAGAAAAACCAACAACTGCATAGGAAAATTTAGCAAGCTTTGCAAGGCCCTAACAGTCCACATAAACATGAGCAATAAAAACTCTCCAAAAACACACAACTGCTAAAAACTGCGGTAATAAGATTTCAACTTATTTTCTTAGATAAAAGTTCATTTCAAACCTAAGTCAGTATTGAAGTGTTTGATCTCAAGCGCCTTCAGCCTCCACGAAATTGCATGACTTTTCACAAGCCTTCAAGAATAACGCAAACAAAGACTTCAAACTAGCCTAGAGTTTTACGAATCAACTGTCTTTTTATTATAAACGCTTCCCAGTCCTGTGCAACTACTTAAAAAATCTTTTAATCTTAGTAAGGTACAGCAATTTAAAAACAAACAAATCCTTGAAAACTGTAAACATGGAGCTTTCACAACAATTCGTCTTGTTATATACAACTCTTTAATGATACTAATCAAAAACAGTAGAGCACTACATTGAAAAAAGCAGACAAATGATGAACGAGATTTAGATTTCGGTAAATACAAAAAGCATTAATGAGATCACGGCTAAATTACAAAATGAATATCCAGCAGAGAGTACGTAACCAAAATAACTTTTAGCAACCCATCATCCTTTATATCAGATATTTATTGCTGAGCCGCTAATACAGTCCGAAACGCTTTTTTGTCAAGACACAACCAGCTCAAGGACACATCAAAAACTCTCTAACTACTTACGCACCACTGAACGAGCGTACGCTAAATCCTGCTCGACGCTCCATTCCTAAGTGGTCAAACCAGTAATGCCTTTTATCAAAGTTCTTTTTTAATCTCTTGGTGAGCAAGTACAAATAAATAACACGTTGGCCAAACCAGGGTCACTGTTCTTAAATAAGTCACATTTCCCCTTCTATCCAAAAAAGACACAAAAACTTGGTTTAAAATTTCTGTTTTCAAAAAAAACCAAACGACAATACGTTTGAGAGAAAAAACCTCTCCAAGAGACAATGAAAGAGTATTAAAATTCTTAAAAGTTATTTTCGCGTAAAATTTTGATTTTTGATTTAAAAAGAAACCATCTTTAAAACTCGCTCGGAACGTTACGAAAAGAACAGCGTGAACAAAGATTAAAAGCAAGAAAATAGCTACCAACTTTGTCTGGAAAGCCGATACCATTATAAATACAGTGAACAACAGCTTTTTCCCCATAATTAAGCCCTGGGAGTAGTTTTGGAGTTAACCTTAAAAGTAACATACACAGTATATATCAAAGTGTATAATTCTCAAGAACTCACAGAAAATATTGTGTCTTGGACAAGTTGCCGGCATCCGATAAAAGATCAACCATCATTTCAAATACCATCCTTTCATTATTTGGATCCATTCCTAAAAAAGCTTAACAGCCACAGTCTTTGCTAAAAGAACAGCCTCATGACATCAGTACGTGCTCCTTCCTCCCTTCATCCTAACTGCTCAAAGTTCTAAAATATACCGTCAGCTGCAAATCGTATAATTGTAAAAAGGTTTCCGAGATAAAAATTACAACGAAAAAACATTTAGAAAGAAAACAAAGTTTCTCAAATGATTGGGAGCCAAATCAAAATGAATTGGGTACTTTCAATGAGTTCTATTTTTCTTTTCAAAAAAAAAAACAAAAGTATAACAACAAGTAAGATAAACTATGTGAGACCAATTGAGAGCACATACCTACCGTTCAAAGGAAAAACATTTTTAAAATGGTTTACGAAAGAACAGTGACCTTGGTTGATTTCGTCTACACAGCGGAAAGGCACAGGACAGAGTTCCTGCAGAGATAAGAGAAACAACATTGTAGTTACACTCCGCTCCCCTCCGGATTGAGTCTTAAACAGCAACGGCAATCATATGTGTCGTACTAAAAAAAATAAGTGAATATGAAATTTAGATGGATGGTACCTTGTGAGTGAGACGGCGCAATCGTTCACCGTTACGAAATTTCACCATGATACCAAGTCCGTAACCCGAAATGTCACGCTGCAATACATACGAAAATAATAAGAAAAGGGGAATGAGACAAATTTACAATAGACAATGCGGAGGGTCCAAACTAGGAGAAATCTTTTGGTTAAACTGTCAAAAACGGTAAAGAAAGAATTTATTAGTAATAAACACTAAAACTGGTTAATATTCGTTATATAAAAAACCTTGTCTTCAGGTTCGTCAAGGCAAATTTCCCCGGAGCATCCCAAACAGCTGAAATACCTTTCAAAGTTCCGATTGATGTTCGCAATTAACTGTCTCAGATTTTGTAGCCACTCAGCCAAAAGGGCATCGATTTCTTTTTCCCATAACTCTACCTAACAATTGCAAATTGCAAAAAATAGTTAAAACCAAAAAAAAGATGAATGAATAAAGAAGATAATTAAACAAAAAGCCCCTCAAAAATGTGTGTAAAAAAGTGAACCCTTCAACCCTAACGCTTCTTACAGAGGAAGTTTCAAGGCGAATCATGCTCCTAAATAACCAAACTGTTGCGAGTGATAATCAGTTGCGGGCTGCTTAACTTGAGAGGGCAAATGATCCTCTTTAAAATGTCTCTGCCTCAGACATCACTTCTTCAGTATTATTTACTTC